TTTTGGATTTTGTAAAAACACATTGCTGTTTTCCTGACAGTGGACCATTGTTTTTATCTGAAATCTTTTATCTTTTTTTTAATTTTAATTTTTTTTATTGAGTTCATAATAGTTTACTTCATTGTGAAGTTTCAGTTGTACGTTATTTCTTGTCCATCCCCATGTAAGTGCTCCCCTTCATCCCTGTGCTTACCCCCTACCCACCTTCCCCTGCTAACCACTCAACTGTTCTCTTTGTCCGCACGTTTATCTTCGACATATGAATGAAATCATCTGGTGTTTGTATTTCTCAGTCTGGTTTATTTTGCTTAACATAATTCCTTCCGGGTCCATCCATGTTGTTGCAAATGGGATGAATTTGTCCTTTTTTTCTGACTGAGTAGTATTCCATTGTATATATACACCACATCTTCTTTATCCAATCGTTGGTTCATGGACACTTGGATTGCTTCCATGTCTTGGCTATTGTGAATAGTGCTACAATGAACATAGGGGTACATAGGTCACTTTGAATCGTTGATTTTAAGTTGTTAAGCCGGTAGTGGATAGCTGAGTCATATTTTTTTTTCCCCTGAGGAAGGTTAGCCCTGAGCTAACATCTGTTGCCAATCTTCCTCCTTTTTTGCTTGAGGAAGATTAGCCCTCAGCTAACATCTGTACGAGTCTTCCTGCACTTTATATGTGGATGCAGCCACAACATGCCTGATGAGTGGTGTAGGTCTGCACCCGGGATCTGAACCTGCGAACCTGGGCCGCTAAACTGGAGTATGCCGAACTTAATCACTTTGCTACAGGGCTGGCCCCAGAATTCTTTTATCTTTTATTGGCAGTCTGTGAAGTCAAGCTATGACCAAGATAATTATGCTGATACATTTCATTGTAACTATTTATTCTAAAGAATAATTTAATATAAGGAAGTTCTTCTTAGATCCTACCCAGTAATGGCCTAAACTTGGAGGTTAACGTTATGTTTAGACTCTTCTCACTCTGTCTTCCCTCTCCAGGTGACCACATTCATATTCATACCTTTACCTTGTACTTACGTGGCAATGACTTCCAAATCTATATTCCTTACTTCAGGGTTGCTGGGTAGACCTCTGTTACTGCGTGTACTCTGCTGTTCTGTAATTACTTATTTACTTGCCTGTCTCTGACTAGTCTGTGAAGTCCTTGAGGGCAGGGACTGCGTTCAGCATTCTTCTGGCAGCCAGGTGAAGCACAAGCAGATTATTTTAATCACGTTGATGGTTGGTTTTAGGTTTCATTAGTGATGTTCTATTTCAGGTCTGCCCTTCTACAGTGTGACCGTCTTTGGGTCTCAACTTAAGCCTGAAGTATATGCCTAGGCAGTTCTACCTTGGCTGGCCTTGAACGCCAACCTGTCCTCCTGGCACCAAGCAGCTGGCTGCTCAAGTGTCTGCTCAGCTCCTGGATTCCCAGCTGTTGCTCTCTGCTAGGTTTTGGAAATCTCTTTCTATATTTGCACAGTTTAGGGTTGGTAAATTCCTCCAGGGCAGATTGCTCATGGATTTTTGGGCTCACTTCCATGTGGTTGCCTCCTCTTTGAGCTGTCTTGCCCTCAAGTCCTAGATGCTTTGACCTCAGAATGCAGCCTCTGTCTCCTTAGCCCATTTGGTGACTTGCTGTTCCCCTATGCTGCAGATTGACATCTATCATTAAAAGAAACTGCCAGGGCGAATGTGGAGCTCACCATGCTCAGTTTCCTTTCTCTTAGGAATCATAAGGTTCTGCCATCAAGTTCTGCCTATATTGATTGTTCTCCAGTGCTTTTTAACAGTTGTTTTATGTATTTCTATCTTTTATATTGATTTTGGTGAGAGACTGAGTCTGATATAAGGTATTTAGTCGTGGCTGGCCTGAAGCCCATGTGTGTGCATTTAAAAAAAAGTTTATTTATTTTTTTGGTGAGGAAGATTGGCCCTGAGTTACCATCCGTTGCCAATCTTCCTCTTGTTGCTTGAGGAAGATTGACACAGAGCTAACGTCTGTGGCCGTCTTTCTCTATATTGTACGTGGGATGCCTCCACAGCATGGCTTGATGAGCAGTATGTGGATCTGCGCCTGGGATCCAAACCAGAGAACCCTGGACTGCTGAAGCGGAGCGCATGAGCTTAACCACTACACCACTGGGCTGGCCTGTTGTTTATTTTTTTTTTTGAGGTCAAATTCACGTAAGAAAATCAACTATTCAAAGTATACAATTCAATGGCATTTAGTACATTCACAGTGTATTGTGTGCATCACATTTTTAATTTATATAAATGATAGTACACTATAGCTCTTGTTCTTTGTCTCATTTTCACCTAACAGTGTGTTTTAAGGATTTTTCTGTGTTACTTTTCTATTTATTACTTTTAACCGTTGCACAGTATGCATTTCATTTGTCCGTTCTTCTTGTGACGGACACTTACTTTGTCTCCAGCTCCCCACTACCTAGACTATATTACAGTTAATAAGATTGACTCTTGACTCCCTTTCCCTCAAACAAGTGGATTAGGTAGGGGCCTCTTGTGGAAATTTGATTCCCCAAATTTCTAGTTTGATTTATTATCTGAGATCTGCTGGAGGAATTGACGCTTTGAAAATCATGGGCTTTTGGAACCATTCCAGTCCTTAAAGTTCTCTCCTCAGCCCAGATCCATTTTGGCACCAGTCTGATTTCTTGAGCAAATCTAAACATCTCTGAACACTGTGCATTTTGCCAGATAAAGATTTGGTAGCACTCTCCATTCCACCTATCAATGTCTCAGTTCCTTTTATATAAATATATATATATATATATGGAAAAAATTGGATGATAGAGATTTTCTACAGTCTCTCCTACGGGCAGTATTCTGTAATTCTGAAAGTCTGTGACTAGATAATGATAGAATGCTGTGTATTTAGTGATTGAACCCAAAATCTGAGTGTTCTAAACTGTTTTACCACTTATCATCTCTGTGCCTTTGGTCAAGTTACTCAACCTGTCAGAGCCTTAGTTCCACATCTCTATGATGAGAGTGATAATAGAGTAGTTGGATGAAATTTAAGAAGAATAAGGTAATGCAGAACACTTATCACAGTTCTGGTGTATGTTAAGTGCATAATAATGATAGCTGTTATTGTTTGGTGTAGACTATAGATGATATTTCACTTTGAATAATGTGTTTTTGTGGTTATACTGCTCATTTGGCACCTAAAAGTGTGGTACCTTGTACCATAGTTATTGTTAATGAGTGATGTTCTTTTCCATTAAGTATAAGCTTGTAGAGAAAAGAGATTTCCCAGATCCTAGCTTAGTTTACTTCTTCTTCTGATCACATTAAGAATGCATTTTAGCCCAGAAACCCATGTATATATGGTCAATTAATTTACTACACAGGAGCCAAGAATATACGATGGGGAAGCGATAGTCTCTTCAATAAATGGTGTTGGGAAAACTGGACAGCCACATGCAAAAGAATGAAACTGGACCACTATCTGACACTGTACACAAAAATTAACTCAAAGCAGATTAAAGACTTGAATGTAAGATCTGAACCCATAAAACTCCCGGAAGAAAACATTGGCAGTAAGCTCCTTGCCATCAGTCTTGGCAGTGGTTTTTTATATCTGACACCAAAAGCACAGGGAACAAAAGCAAAAATAAACACGTGGACTGTATCAAACCAAAAAGCTCTGAAGAGCAAAGGAAAAGGCAACTTACTGATGCGAGAAAATATTTGCAAATCATATATCTGATAAGGGTTCAATAGTCAAAATATATAAACACCTCATATGACTCAATGGCGAAAAAAACAAACAATCCAATTAAAAAATGGGCAGAAGATCTGAATAGACATTTTCCCAAAGAAGATGTACAGATGGCCGACACATACGTGAAAAGATGCTCAGCATCACTAATCATCAGAGAAATGTAAATCAAAACCACAAGGAGATATCACCTTACACCTATCAGAATGGCTATTAGCAAAAAGACAAGAAATAAGTTTTGGCAAGGATGTGGGAAAAAGGGAACCCTTGTGCACTGTTGGTGGGATTGTAAATTGGTGAAGCCACTATGGAAAACAGTATGGACGGTCCTCAAAAAATTAAAAATAGAACTACCATATGACCTAGCAGTTCTACTCTGGGTATTTATCTGAAGAAAATGGAAACACTAACTCGAAAAGGTATATGCACCTCTATGTTCATTGCAGCATCATTTACAGTAGCTAAGATGTGGAAACAACCTAAGTGTCCATTGATGGATGAACAGATAAAGAAAATGTGGTCTGTCTATCTATCTATCTATCTATCTATCTATCTATCTATCTGTCTATCTGCCTGTCTGTCTATCTATGTATATACAGTGGAATATTATTTAGCCATGAAAAGAATGAAATCTTGCTATTTGTGACAACATGGATGGACCTCGAGGCATTATGCTAAGCGAAATAAGTCAGATGTAGAAGGGCAAATATCATATGATTTCTCTTATATGTGGAATCCAAAACAAACTAACAGAAAACTAAGCTCACAGATACAGAGAACAGATTGGTGGTTGCCAGAGATGGGGGTGAGGGGTTGGATGGGGAATGGGTGAAATAGATGAAAAAAGTCAAAAGGTACTAACTTGCAGTTCTAAAATAAAGTCATGGGGATGTAATGTACAGCACAGTGACTATAGTTAATAATAGTGTATTGCGTCTTTGAAAGTTGTTAAGAGAATAGTTGTTAAACGTTCCTATCACAAGAATAAAAAATTTGTAACTGTGTGTCATGACCTATTGTGATCATTTTGCAATATATACAAGTCTCGAATCATTATGTTGTACACCTGAAGCTAATATAATGTTATCTGTCAATTATACCTCAATAAATTTTTTTTTAATTTAAAAAAAGAGTGGGGAAAAAAAAGAATGCATTTCGAATCTTTGTTTTTTGATTTACTTTCTCCTCTCAGTTTTGAGAAACAGAAAATATTTGTATTTAAATGCCAAATTGAACTTTTTTTACAGATAACCATGATGCTCACAGAGACCCCTACTGTGTCTTTCGCCCCTTTTGAGGACATGCTGAGCCGGATGCTGTTTGGCTGGCAGCAGCAGTTCTCACCATCTGGAAAGAAAAGTGAAACGAAGTCATCTTTTAATGGCACTGGTTCATCCACCTCAAAGCCTACAGCTGATGCTTCAGATAAAATGAAAAAGAAACATGCTAAGAAGACTGAGTAAATTTACTTGATGAACTCTAGAAGGCAAAAAAATTTTTCTTATTTCCTCTCAGGTTGTGGTAAATATTTCTATGTAAATGATATGAAATAAAGATTATATATAAGGAATGGAGGTGACAAAAAGAAAACTTCTTTCTGTTTCAGGGAGACTATCCTTTTTCGGATTGTAATTCTTGAGTGTTAAGAGAGTATCATGTGAAATTGTTTTTCTAAGTTATATATAAAAGATTCTATTGTGACTAATAGTTTTAGATTGATAAAAGAAGGCTAGATGTTTTTAATGTTAGAAAAAGTAAACTTACTATCATTGAAAAATATTAAAGCCTTTTTGTTTTATTTAGGTATTTTCGTATATATTTTTTATTTGAATCTATTTGAGCTTTAGTTCAGGAAAATTAAACTTTTACTTCACATTAACATTATAGTTCCTAGACATGGAAAACAATTCCTGTTTAATTTTGAGCAGTGGGAAGAGTAAACTTTACCTAAATCAGTTTATATTATGAATGAAAATAAATTACTAATTTATATCTCAGATATAAACATTGTGTTTTTTAATTTATTTTCGTTTTTTTATTTTTTAATTTTTGTGAAGAAGATTGGCCCTGAATTAAAGTTGCCAATCTTCCTCTTTTTGCTTGAGGAGATTGTTGCTGAGCTAACATCTGTGCCAATCTTCCTCTATTTTGTATGTGGGATGCCATCTCAGCCAGGCTTGATGATCAGTGTGTAGGTCCATGCCTGGGATCCAAACTCCTGAAGTCTGGGCCCCCAGAGTGGAGAGCACAAACTTAACCGCCACACAACTGGGCTGGCCCCTAAACATTGTATTTATTACCCACATTAAATGGAAAATATATGAAATTTTATTTTAAATTTTGTTAGTAGTATTTTTCAGTGAGAAGAGAATATTTGTATGAGTCTTAATCTGAAGTTTATTTCATGTCCTTGTTTATATTGTTTCTTTTCTCAAAAGAATATCGGGTGTAATTTTTAATAAATCCTTAAGCCCATGTTTTGCTTTGTAAGTTTCATTTTAGGAGTTTATTTTTTTGTCTCTTCTTAAAACACATTCATTTTAACTGTAGGAGAAATTATTCTTCTCAGCATTTCACATCTTCTTTCTGATCCTAGTTGGTCTGGATACGTTGATGATCGTATCATCTTAATGATTCAACAAAAGTATTATTTCACTTTAAAAATTTCCCCTTTATGTCTCTTTTCTAGCGGAATTCCTTCATTCTCTAGTTGAATGTCTCTTGCTTGTTTGCATATGTTTATATTTTAATCTACATGTACATGTATTATTTTTATTTTAAATTGAAACTAATTACCCTTATGAAAATGCTCAGCCCTAATGAGAGTTGTCCTTTGACATTTGATAGTAACCAGCTAACCAAGAAGAAACAGAAACTAAAATCTCATATGGTAGTTCATTTGAATGAAGAATGATGACATTAAATCTGATTCCTTATTGACAAAAAGAAAAGAAGTACCAAATAGTGTTAAATTTTCTTGCTTTATTTTATAGTTTAAAAGGCCAGTTATAACTTTAGAACTCTGACTAATATGATTTCTTCTACCAAGACCATAAACCTGCTGCCTACAAAGAGTTAGTTATGTTCCAGGCGTTTTGGGATGTCCTAGAAGTACTCAAATCACATTGAAGTTAGAAGTTTTTGTTTTTAAAAATTTTTAGCAAATACACCAGCAGTTACTATACTTGTTAAAACAAAAGATTTTTAGGGGGAGGAGCTTTGTAGCCTTGAGATGCTAAGAAGTTTATTTTTAATATTGTGACAAAATGCATTAAATATTTAAGAGTTCTGTATTATATTTGATACTCTTGTAGTTAAAAACTTTTCAAAATTAATGTTACTAATTGTTGACAGTTTTGAAGTTTGGGTTTAACTATAGTTGAAATGGTAGGAATCTTGTTTTACACTTGTATTAAAGACAAATTTATTAAAATAAGTTATCTAGCACCAATGGAGTATTACATTATTTTAATGTTTCTTCTTTTCTATTTTGGCATTTTGAGTGATATATAATCAAGCCATTTTGACTGATAGATATTCAATGATTACTGTTCAAATGGGACATTGGTACAAACTTTATTAATCTAGGCAAGCATCTTGTAACGTTCAATTCAAGATTCTTAGGAAAAAGCTGTATTGGAGAATATGGCTTAGGCTTGAACCCCCGCTGAATCTACGCATGCTTCCTATGGAGACGCGACTGGATTTGCAAAGCGGGTTGTTAGACTCCTTGCCCAACAGGTAGCTTGAATGAGGCCTGTGGGCCTGCTTCACACGGACAGTCAGAGGTGGCACTGAGAAAGTCAACACCTGATAGATCTCCTTATAAAAGGAGACAAGAAGCTGGCAAAAACATGGTCTGGCTTAACTCAGTGATCTCATCCTCTAGTAAAATGTGGCCAAATTAATATCAAACTCTGATTTATCAGATTAGTCACTTTTCCTTACTGAGGGAGTAAGGCTGGAGAGGGAGCAGATATTTGGAGTAGATAGATTTCAGTGGAAATCCAGCTTCCCTGTGGGCAGAGACCAAAGAGTGGAGAGATGAGAGAAGAGGGGAGACATTTACTGTCTCTCTATTGTATTTTTTTTCTGTTCCTTTAAGAGCAGACACCATTCCATTAAAATCTACCTCAAAGCACAAGTTGATTGCAATTGAGTGATATGTTGGAAATGGAATAACGTGCTCAAGAATGCTCTTCCTCCTGCCACTGCTCCCTTGGAGTTTACATTCCGCTCGTGGGGAGACAGTAATAAACAAAGATGTTCTTGTGGTGATAGTAGAGGTTATGAATAAATACTAAGCAGGACACATGGATAGAAAATGGTGGGGGTGTGTGTGTTAAAACAGGATTGTTAGAGAATGCCTTTCTGTTAAAATTGCGTTTTAGCGGAGACCTGAGTATGTGAAGGAGCAGGCCAGGCAGAGACATCTGGGTAAGTGCAAGGGTCATTCTGTTTCTTCTTACACTTGGGTTAGATTGTATATTTTTTTCAAAAATTATTGGATCTATTTTTCTTACTAAGTAAAACTTCACTCTTGTTGTTTTTTTCAGACATTTCTTTAGTAGAATTTATTTTTCTTTTTACAGTTGTTTTCTCTTTTGTGGTAAAATCTGCATACAGTGAAATGAACAAATTCTAAGTGTACATTTAAAAACTTTTGACAAATGCATGAAACTATGTAGCCTAAACTACCAAGGTGTACAGAATTACCAGCACCTCAGGAAGTTTCTTTCCACTTAATCCGCCCACTCCTCCTCTAAATAGAATATAAACAGAATCATGCAGTATATTCTCTTTTGCATAAGACTTCTTTCAAACTCTGCATAACGTTTTTGAAATTTTGAAATTCATCTTGTTGTGTTTGTGTTGCATCTTTTTTAGTTGCTTAGTAGCATTCTACTAGATGAATAGGACGGATTTTGTTTATCCTGTTGCACATCAGGGCTGTTTCTAGTTTGGGATGTTCTGAATAAGCTACCACGAACATTTTTGTACAAGTCTTTTGGTGAACATACATTTTTATTTCTTTTGAGCAAATACCTAGGAACAGAATTACATTTACTTTTATAAAAAACTGCTGGACCTTTTTTCCAAAGTAGTGGTACCATTTTATACTCCACAGCCATCTATGACAGTTCCAGTTGCTCTACATCCTTACCGAGGATTAGGTTCAAACACTTACAATTTGTCTATTTCCAGTGGGTGGTTTGTGGTTTTTATTGACATTTCCCTGATGATTAATGACATAGAGCACTGTTTTGTGTACTTACTGGCCATTTGTGTATCTCCTTCTGTGAAGTGTCTGTTCAGATCTTTTGCCCATATTTTGTTGGATTTGTCTTTTTATTATTAAGTTGTAGGAGTTCATATATTGCAGATACTGATCTTTTGTCAAATATGTATTTTGCACATATTTCTGATATGTGGCTTACCTACTTATTTTTTTGATGATGTCTTAATGAGCAGAAGTTTTTAATTTTGAAGTCTAATTTCCTTGTATGTTATAGTTGTTTTCTGTGCCATAAGAAACTTTTGCCTGCCTCCACGTCATGAAATGTTTGCCCACCTCAGGCACCCAAACAAAGGAGTACCCAGCCTTTATTGTGAGAAATGCTTAAAAGAGAAACACTTTATGCTATTATGTAAAGTAATAATTCTGTTACTTAGCAAGTCACTCAGCCCTCATTTTTGGTTCTGCTTCTTGAAAGTCATTGTACACTTTACATATGCGGTCGCTTTTTCTGTGCTTGTGCTATAGGTTATGCATTACAGGAATTTAGGACTTTTCTGTCTATGTCTAGGGACTTTCTGTGGGCAGGTTTGACCTTGCTGCATCATAACTAATGTTTTGGAGAGCTGGTGAATAAGAATGTGATAATACAAAATATTTAAAAAATGAAATAGACTAACAATAATGTACAACTGAAATTTCGCAAGGTTGTAAACTATCATAATCTTTATAAAAAGTTAAAAAAAATGAAATAAAAAATCCCCTAAGCTCAGTTGTAGGTATGTGATTAGTTGAGGAGGTAGTGGTCCATATTGAAATATATAATCTAAGTGCATATTTGTGGTGACAGAATGTGGCCCAATGATCTGGTATGAAAATCCGTAGACCTTAGATTAATTTACGTGGCAGACTATCAGATGATCCATGATAATACAAAATTTTGTGGCACACATAACTAAAATGAGAACTATTACTTTCTTCTACATTTAATAAAGAGATTTAAGACTTAGTTGGGATCAAGAAGAAATTAAGCAATTCACATGGTGGAATTATTATCAGCAAACAATGGTTTGGTCGGGGGAGAGGCAGGAGGGACTCCTGCCAGACTAATTTAACTTCAGATATATTTTTACCCCTGTAAAATTGTGGTAATCATGCATGTTTGACATAAAAATTCAGCCTGCTCTCAATAAAAATAAACTATAGACAGAAACCTTCCTTGAGAATAATACAAAATGAAATGAGTCTGCTACAGTGCCTTATAAACAGCATTTATATTTGACATCTTAATGAGCTGTGAGAGAAAGCACATAGCATCGTAGTTAAATTTGCAAAGGACCTTAGGTGTTAAGAAAACCTGTGACGACAGGAAGAATTCAAAGGATAATAGTTATGCTTGGAAAATGGTGTGACTTAAAACATATAAGTATATAGCAGGGAAGAATTATGTAAGACCCAAACCTAAAGAAATATGCATGAATTTTGTAATGTTGAATAATAAAAAGTAATGAAACATTAGCATGTTGTCTTTATTTTGAGCAGCCTGACATTTTGGGGGTTATATTGAGGAAGAGAGAGAAATTCATGTTAGAGGACGAGTTACAGTCTTTGCCACAACTGCTTACCTTAAAGGACTGTTTTGAAAATAAGCTAATGTATGTGAAAGTGTTTTTAAACAATATTCACAGAGAAGAGTCTAGTTAATTTATGGATAAAACCAGAGTTGTACGTAGTTTGGAATACAATGAATGTGCCCCAGTC